CTGTCTCCAACTGATCTGAAGGATTTATTTCCTGAGGGGATCTTTATTTTACAGCAATATACCCTGGAGTTTCTTTATTCTTTCTTTCTTTCTTTGGGGTGTCTCATTTTTTAGAGAATCAAGCTTTCATTATAGCTCATACACTAGTGTCTCTTCATCTTTTCTATGAGATGAAATCCAAGCTGTCGATCGAATGAAGGGTGTCTTTAATTTTCCTCAAGGCAAAAGAAACCGAAGGAAATAGGGAAGTTGTAAAAGCGCCGGTGTTGCTGTGGGGGCTGTTGTGACAGTTGCAGCTGTGTTCGTTTTGAATATGTAAGAAAAACGTACTTCTTTTTCTCCCCCCACCGGAAAAAAAAAGTGAAAAAAGATAGGGGGGGGGGGAGGGACTCCTCTTACGGGAGCTCAACCCTATAGGGAGGAATTTGCTCTGCTCATGTGACTACCCATGTGAATAGTAGCTGTTAAATCATCATTTGCGGGAGTGCAGGGAGCACGTGGAGAGCGGGGTTGTTGGAGAGAAGCAGAGGAGAAGAGACGACCGCACACCCTGCAGGCGATTTACGTATTTCAACCAAACCATAACTATCTACAGCTGTACTCAATACTTTCTGCATCAAAGTACTACATTTCAGTGCTGACTAAAAGCCAGTTATTGTTTATTTTGTTGGGTGGCATCTGTCAGCCCTAGAGTCTGATGGATTTTTTTCACTCACTTTGTACATCTAGAACAAAACCAAACCCATAATGCACAGAAATAAAAAAGCAATTCTGAAAGCAATATGGATATTCCTGAGGCACACGTTGAAAAACAACTCAATTACCCAAGTTTATCACACTCCTCCACAGACAGACTGGCAACATGGCAGTGCTACTGACCCTGGTACGTCTCAGCAGGGTAAGGACACAAATTAAGTCATCGTCTCACTTCTGAATGACAGCCATCATGTTGTGCTCTGACGGGCGGCCACATCTCTGGGCCCTTAAGGACAACAAGGGGACACGCTGTCATGAGCATACTAGTCTCTCTCCTCCACTCACCTGTGACAGTGTCTGGACGACCTTTAACGCATGTCCTCAGGGGACCAATAGGGCACGATGATGCAAAACACTCTCAGACTTCATTGGGTTCCTTGTCTGTTATTAATTCTCCTTGGGGTGGGTCTCTCCTGAAAGTCTCTGAATGCTGCATGGCAAGAGCCACCTTAGAGATCAGACATGATGCAGCAGATGAAAATAAGTAAACACGAGAACTCTGAAAACTTCTCCACATGTTATCTATCATGAGTACTCGAAGCATATTGAAGCCAGGTGGCATCACTGGGAAGTAGATTACTTGGTAACCCACATGAATTCTCAATGCGTAGAGCGTCTTAAGTCTGAAAAGCTCATGTGGTGGACACATGACATACCTGCAAAAATGTAAACAAAAGACTGTGTTTCTCAAATGCCTCTTTTATAAAGTAATTAGTTTAGCAGGAATCGAGAGCTCAAGGCCTAAGCACTAGGGACGATTTTAACAATATATCATGAGCAGACCCTGAACCTGCCAGTAGGCCTACATTCTCATGATCTCCAAGGGATACAATATTACATTTCTCTGTCCTGTAATACACCTTTTTTTTCTGTTTTGAGACCAAATAAGCGAATCAATATTGTGGGCAAAAACATGTCTAGGAAATAGTAGTGACATGAAACAAAAGACAAGTTGAAATTTGTTATTAAACTAGGACTGCCAATCAATTTAAAATAATCATAATTCAATTAATTACATGACATTCCAATTAATGAGACACAAGACTTTGTCATTTTTAAGTCATCACTTAAAATTAATCCAGCATGGAAACACACATCTTAATTTAATTTGTCCCCTCAACAGCTGTTATTTTTAATGAAGAACACTTCTTTAAACTTCTGGAATTAAAATAAATCACAGTTAATCATTGTTTACTACTGATTGTAATAATATCAGTGTATTACTAAATGTGGAGGGCCATAGAAAAACAAGGTTGAGAATCACTGGAAAATATCAATATTTACTGAGAAACCCCTAAAATTTAATCAATTCAAAGACATGAGATGATTGAAGCAAATTAAAGCATTGCATAAACATTACAAAAAATCATTACATTATCTGTTGTATTTCGAGAAGTCTGTATACATGTAAGATCAGGGGGCATGATTAATTGTGTTCATTTAATTGTATTTTTTTATGTAATTAAATCACACTAATAGAACATCTTACACTGATATGCCTATTTAAAAGTTATTTTATATTTATTAACATTGTAATAATACCACCTCCATTTGCAATATTTTAATTTGTTGTGTGAAAACTATGGTATGACAATGGTTAGATTATGTAATATTTAAACATGCCCGGCATTTGCATGATCACCGTAGGCTTATCGAGTGTTGACATGTGAAAAAGCAAACATTGCATCACTCGAATCAATGCTATACTCAAAGTATTTTCATAATGGAGTGCTTAAATGAAAAAAAATTATCCTTGTGTTTCGGCTTGAACCCCGTACTCAACTGTAGTGCTGAGAACAAATTTACTTTAATTATCATTATTTCTTAACATCTAACATCTATCCCCTTTTGTCATCTAGTTGGTTAACTTGTATTCAACAAAGCACAAAGGCAAAAAATTTGGTTAAAAATGATCAATGGGAGGGTATTGTGAGGTGTGTCATAAAACAGGAGAGTAATAACAACAAAAAAGGGAAGGGGGGGGGGGGGTTAAAAATATCTGTGATTTTTAATCAATAAGAATGCCTGCAGAAGCTTCAAGCTGGATTGACATCGACAAGGACCTTCACAGGACAACCAGTTCATTAACTCTTGATCATGTTCTTAAAGGAATAGTTCCCACAAAAATGAAAACTGTCATTATTTACTTACCCTCATGTAATTCCAAACCTAAATTACTTTATTTTTTCTGTGGAACACAAAAGGAGAATTTCTGAAGTATCGACTGCTCATTTCCATATAATGAAAATGAATGGCATCTGGGGTTGTCACTTTTCAAAAAGCAAAATGCCTTTAAACAGTGGACCATATGACTATAGTGCACTATATTCCAAATCTTCTAGGGTTATTTAATAACTTTATGAGATAAATAGACAGATTGAAAGTCATTTCAATCAATATATCATCAACAGAACAAATTAGCCCCTCAAACTGCAAGAATAAAGCATCCCCTATCAATATTGGAATATTCTATATTTTGTTGTTTACAACACACTGTAGTCCAATCAGTGATTATATAACCACACTCATATGCTTATGTCTACATAACTTCCTCTTTGTATATGGATGAATGCAAAATCAGATTTGTGCAGAAGTTACTTTAAAGCTAATTTCAATACACTCTCCACAACAGAGCAAAGTCGATATTAAATGATGTGTTTACTGCTCTATGCTACACTGCATAAAGCACTTTAATAATCAGAAAACACGTTGATTTGTGACATTTATCTTAATGTAGTATTATATTTGTGTGTGTACGTCTTTTGTCTTACGTCTAAGCATAACATATTACTCAGAAATGCTACTGAGACAGATGAGGGTGAGCTCAGCAGTGTAATTTCTCATCATAATACAACACACACATAAATATTAATAGCAGGGTTTTTGGCTGGTGGGCATGAATCATTTTTGTAGACAGAGAGGAGCCACCCATGAATGCCCAAAAACAGCATTTAAGAAAGTGCTGAGATAAACAGCAGCGCTGCAAGGCCCGGCAGCAGGGGAAAACCATCCGAGACCTCCGAAAATTCAGACATTTGTTGAGTCTACTTGAAGCATACGTATGGCAACTAAGAAGGCGTCGATGTTCGTGTCAAGAAAAAATGGGCGTCCCAGATGAAGCATTCAAGGCTTGTGTTGTTAACGTGAAAATCACATGACTAATGACAAATGACTCGAGGCCTCGGTTTATGTGAAAATAAGGCTGTCTCAAGTCCGCAAGTCACCTCTCGATGCTTATATGAAAATGAGCAGTCGATATATACTTCAGAAATTCTCCTTTTGTGTTCCACAGAAGAAAGAAAGTAATTTAGGTTTGGAATTGCATGAGGGTGAGTAAATAATGACAGTTTTCATTTTTGTGGGAACTATTTCTTTAAGAACATGATCAAGAGTTAATGAACTGGTTGTCCTGTGAAGGTCCTTGTCGATGTCAATCCAGCTTGAAGCTTCTGCATGCATTCTTATTGATTAAAAAAAAAATCACAGAGCTTTTTAACCCCCCTTCCCTTTTTTGTTGTTATTGCTCTCCTGTTTTATGACAAACCTCGCAAGACCTTCCCATTGAGCTGAAAAACATACCTTCCTCCATTGATGGCAATTCAGAAATATCTGGATATTTCAAAAGGATTACTAATACTGTGTTTGACCCCCTTTCACCTTCATAACTGCCTTAATTTGACATGCCATTGATTCAACAAGATAGGTTTAAATGTAGCAAAAGGTATCCGTTTTTAAATGAAAACGCAGTAGTGTGGACGGGGCCTCAGACATTCAGTTTGGAGTTCAGGAGATTGTCATAATATTATTTTTGAGTGATTAAAAAACAATCTGCCTTTGCTTTCCTTTATACTCTTACTACCTTATTTCTTAACATTACAAATTTATTCCTATCATGTCACTATTCATGACACTATCACTATTTTTATGAAACACGTCCATTGTTAATTTGATTAACTACACGTGTCTTTCCTGCTTTAAAAAAAAAATGTAGCTATGTACATAGCATCTAAAGGGATATGGTGATGGGAAAAAAATATACGAGATATGAGAAGTTATGCTATTACCCAATAAAAATTTTACAGGGGCTCTGTAGCTCTGAGAAAATCTCTAGCATCATTTGTTTGTACAGTAGATGTCACCTGATATGTTATCTCATGCAATAACAGGACATGGTATTGTTGCAGATTGGGTATTTTAGTGGTACTGTGTTTTTAATTCTGTATGTTGGGTTGTATGTGTCTAAGGTATATGATCATCAGTATAAAGCTGTCCTGGATGGAATGGAGACTGAGAGCATGATGGAAATCCATCCAGCGCAACGCATCGAGATCTTCAGGATGGGAAACGGCACAGACGAGGTCCTGGAGGTGCACGACTTTAAAAATGTAAGCGTTTATGACATACAAGTGAAATATTTTCATTGTGATGTGATAGATTCAGCTCACATTCCTGCAATCTGAGTCTCAGCCTAGGAACTGCTGTCAAAATACAGACAGCGTTTTTCTTTTTCTCTCAGACTGATGATATTGAATCTCTGAAAAGCACTGTGCTAAGCAAAAGCAAACTGGCAGTGATGACATCTTGCATCAGCATTCAGACACACTTGTGGTTGGCCCCATCTTCTTTCTAAATTACAATGGTCAGTGGAGCAAAGCCACAAAACAGATTAGTTTCATTCAAGACATTGCCATGGGAAAGCAGAAAACAAGTGAATAGGTAAAATCATTCAAATCACATGTTGATATAAATGAAAGGGGAGTTTGAGCTCAGAGCCCTTTTCGGCACTTCTTGCAACTTCTGGCTCAGGACAGACTTTTGAATTGATTTTTGTGAAGGAGGGATGTTGCAAGTCATTACACACACTAAAACTACAAGCCATCTCCATAGAGCCTGAAGGCTATAGCACATGAATGGAAATGCAGTGGTGATGCCAACAGAAACACAAGCAAAATCCTTTCTCTATTGTTTTAGTCAAGTTCTCAGAGTGTCCTCCAGAAACTTGCAAGTTATAATGAGAATTCCACAACATCAGCTTATAGGGAAAGCCAAGGAGACACATCACATAGACTGAAAAAAAAAGTGTCCTTCAGCTTGAAAAAAAAAAAGGGAATAATCCAGCAATATATTTTTCGGCAATGCAAGGTAGCAGTGAATTACTTTTTGTTTATTATTGTCCAAGAATCATTTCATGTACACCATTGTTCAAATAATTGGGGTCAGTAAGATTTTTTTTTAAGTATTTAAAGGGACACTTCACCCATTTGCATTAAGCTTTGTATCTTTAGAAACCCAGTCATATTTTTGAATGGTCATGGTTTAGTCCCTTATTTTCCCCTGAGATGGGAGAAATAAGGATTTGAGTGTTCCACTTCCTGCTTTTGATCATTTGCAAATGATAATTTTTACGTCATAAAAAGCAGAAAGTCCCACTTCTTTGTATAAGGGTTGAGACTACAAACACTAGCTCATCATTTATCCAGGACCCCTTCACCCTACAGGCCTATTACAGATCAGTGGGTGGGACTTCACTTGCAGATACTGAATCAACATCATCAATCTTGTTTGGAAGCTAAGCTAACAAGAGCCGCTTTCCGACCGGAGGGACTTTTGCAGTTCCTAGAACCTAACGTTCCTATAACCCTTTTTTTCTTGTGTTCCGACCGGACTAAATTGGGGATTTTTTAGTTCCTCAGACCGTAGTTCCTATAACTCTTTCAGTACCTAGTCTAGAGCGAGGACTTTTTTAGTTCCCTTTCCCTAGGTCTACGTTGATTGGTTCAACTTATGTCATGCCCACTGCTGTCAACACGGAACTTGTAGCGCGCTAGCCATACGCTGTGTGTTTTTGGAAAACATCACAACGAGGATTAAGACAAACATAACGCATTCAACCAGCTAATTGCTAATGCTAGCTAAACTTACCCATCGTTTTGTTTGACTCCTGCGCTCTGCTCTTTTATCTGCTCTTTGCTCTGTACAGAACTCAAGCATAATCTTTAAACGCCGCAGTTTGTTCTCCGTTATTAAGGTCCCGGCAAGGCAGAACAGGAACATTGCAATAGCCTCCTCCATGCTGGTTTGTTGTTGTTGTTTGTGGCTGCAAGACCGTTGCCGTGCTTGCGTTACCCCTCCGACGTTTGTGTTGTGATGTGAACCATTCTAGTTTCGCACCGCATATGTTCTGACTGAACATCCAGGTACCATGCAATGATTCACCATATAGAAAGAAATATAAAAGAGGATTAATTCACTAATGAGTTTGCCAATGTAACAGGGTTCGTTGTTATGGGAAGAAGGAGGCGGGAACCGGCGATTTAAACGTTTTAGTAATATAAACAAATACAACACAACAGTATAAGCCAGCAGCCCCTCATGGATGACTGCTGACCACACACAACAGAAACACAACATAAAATCAGGCCTGTTCCCCCTCTCGATCTGCACTTTTGTCACTCCTCCTTTTATACTTCCGCTCCTCCATGAGAGATAACTTACGAGACTATGTCATTCATTAGCACTCACGCCACTGGCCTCGCGCCATCCTCTCACGCCCCTTTGGCCTCGTCCTAGTGGCCACAGCCAACTGATTTCTCTGATGTTTGCTAGAGAATGTCTATGTATTTAATATGTCTATGCTTTTGCGCTCTTCACCTTCTTTTTTTCTCGTGGCATCGACAACACAGCTGACACGGGTAAATACATGTGTGAGAGTTCAGTCCGCCTTAACATTGGTCCCGTTTCGGATGCCACGATGCAATCAAGCAGTGACCTCAAGTTATTTTCTGTCTTTTCTCATTCAAGAGAGAACCAAATTCAAAATTTCTTTTACATTTTGACTAAATATTATGACCCACTTTTAATAAAGATTAATTTTGAAATGGGTGAAATGCCCCTTTAATATTCTGAACAGATGCAAGTGACACTAAATACTTTTATTTTGTCACAAAACATTTCTATGTCAAATAAATTGCTGTTCTGATATGCTGTTCTTTTAAAGATTATATTTACTAAAGAATATAAGATATCACTGTAATGTTATGTTACACATATGTTTCTTGAGCAACAAATCAGCACATTATAATGATTTCAGAAGGATCATGTGACACTGAAGACTAGAGTGATGTTGCCATGACTGACAGGTATAAAATGCATTTTAAAATGGGCTAAATATAAGTAAACTGTTTTATTGTATTTTGATTTTTAAAAAATGCAGCCTTACTGAACATTTAAAAAAAAAACATTTCTTACAGACAGTTTTGTTTTAACTGTATGCTATACATGGTTCTATATCTCAATAATTGCACATTTTTGTCTCTTGTAACTTTGATAAAGTCAGTGTGACTATTTCAAACTTTAAGTGTTAGTGTTAATTTTTGATTCTAAAGGTGGAAATGACCTTCAATTTATACCTAACTGCAAAAGAGCTGGAAAAATAAAGCAATATATGAATGGCACATTGTTCTCCAATCGTTGAAGTCTTGTAAAAAGCAGTTACAAAAGTGGCTGAGAGCAAGGCTTTAAATGATTTTGCCAATAATCCAGCCCGTTCTCATCCTTTAACGTCATATAGAACGCTATATGACAAAACGGCGCTATACTACGCACATGGCACCCGTTATCGTTAATATAACACGCGAACCCAAGACGTTATAAATCCTTTAGCGTGAATATGACACGTACACCCTACCCCACACCTAAACTTAGCCCTCACAGCACGTGTTATATTAACGATAACGGGTGCCTTTAGCGTAGTATAGCGCCGTTTTGTCATATAGCGCTCTATATGACGTTAAAGGATGAGAATGCGTTGAATAATCACACTGTCTCTTTCCATCAGTGTGGAGAATAACAATGATTAGTTTGTCCTACAGAAAGACAAGATGAGCTATCTTACCGCCCATTTGATGATACAAGTGGTCAGTGAAGATGCAGGGGGAATTTCTTAACAAAGTCAAAGTCTGTTTATAACATCCTAATACAGAAACAGTATACTGCCAGGGTCGGCTTCCCAGACACAGGTTAAGTCTGATCTTTGCTCTAGTAATGTTGTTAACAGCGATTCTTTGGTGCTAATTCAGTTTAGCACCAGCCCTTGACTTCACCTGCATTCAGGAAGCAGTATTTGTTGTCTCTCAAACCAATAACTGGGCATCTACATACAAGTAATGTGCCAATAATTGGAGCAGCGCTTCTTTGCCCTCTGCCAACAGCATCATTCATTGCTTCCATTCGAATAATTTCTCAGTGCATGCACACATTTAATCTGGCTAATGGCAAAGCTGTACTTCAACACTCTTTCTTAAATGACATAATTTTCCTATATTTTATCCTTGTAATAAAGAGTCTCTCCATTTTCCAGTTGACCAGGCTCAGCAATAAACGCATTTCATCAAGAGATGGGTCCTTTTTGCATGCAAAAGCAGGCCATTAACAGGAACTGAAGAGCAATTTGTCAATGATTTTTCGACACCAATAATGCACTGATAACCGTTTTTTTTTTTTTTTCTAATAACCGGTGAGCTTAGGTGAAAATGACAATTATTAGCATGCAGTCTAACATTACTTATGAAAGTACAAACACAAAAGATGCTTTCGTTAATACTGCAGAAATAATTCAGCATCATCACTCTCCCTTTTCGTATGCTACAACAGCAAAACGAGAGCAACTGTGGATTAGCTAATGTATTTCCGAATGCAGCGAGATATTGTTTTTGTCCTTCTGAGTGAAGAGTCTGTAAGACGATAGCCTTTATTTCCCATCGAAGACTACTTTCAGACAGTAAAGCACTGAGCACAGAAAATTCTTCAGATTCTCCTGCTAAAATGGGTTTTTCTCTTTTCAAGTGTAAAGCAACAAATTCTGTATGGCAGACCATCAGCTTTGGCTTTTAGTAAAATAGCTCCTCAGTTCACCAAACAGATTAGCTTCACAACGCAGACCATAAGTACAGCAAATCGGAGGGTTTTGCCAACATATAATCATGGCTTCAGCGGTATACCTCTATTGCCTGGGGTTGTAGACCCATAATCTTGAATTGGCTAGGAAATGATTCCTGTTGCATTAGTTACTGTATAGCATTTGCTATAACTGTGCTTCGGGTGTCAAAGAGTATTTGAAGTGAACAACTGATTTTTTTTATTTTATTATTATTTTATTTTTTTTATTGTGGAATAAACATTCATTAATATCTGTGACATTCAAGGGCATCATGGGCATCCGTTTTTCCAAGCACCAGAGATGTTACATCAGGGCTCAAACCAAGGAGCTGCCGAAGCTGGACTCAAAGACCATCGACATAGAGGTATTTTTAATCTCACTAAACATATCTTTACGCAATTTGCTTCCTTAAAAAAAAAACACAATGAATTTTGCAGCACATCAGACAAAATGTGAAAATGGAAACTTACTCCAAACATCACCATCCACAATCCAACTAACCAGCAACCCCAACCCACCCCCCACCATCATTCCCTTCAGCATCTCCCACAAAAGTATAAAATTGGGTCTCCTGTGGCCATGAATCCATCCGAAAGTCCACAATCCTATAACCCCTTTGTGGCACACATCAAATGGTGTTTGCTGTCAATCCTGAACTAATATTAATTTTTAATCATCTCCTCTGAAGCCTCAGCCCAAATAGCCTTAAGGAGTGAGAGAGAGGGGTCCTTGTGAAAGGTAAGCCATTAAAATGGTATTTGAAGATGTTTGCTCCGTAAATTTCACTTGACTCAGGGCTGAAGTGATTCATCTCTGTTCTCCTGCTCTAATGGCTGTCTGTGATGCTCTGCAAGAGTGATGGGCGAAATTCTATCAATCAAACATCCAATTTATCTGTCATGGCGAATGGCAAGCGGTTTCACATGCGCCAAACTCTTTCCTTCACAGCTCATATTGAAAAGGGGGTGTGCAAAAAAGAGGCACGCCTCTCTGATTTGTATTTAAAACACACTGATGTATTGTTGTCGCAAGTTCCCAGACATCATCTTTGACTTTTGGAACAGAAGGTATTATAGGAAGAAACAGCCTGCATGTTCTCTCCCTCATCGTTTTAATGTCTAATCCATGTTTACAGATACTAATTGCGAAGCAAACGCCATATGTCGCTGCCATTTCTCCTTTTTTTTTTTACTCATTGTGAAACCTAATTAGATTTTTCGGCAAAGCTTTATTTCACAGATGTGAAATCAATCAGAGTTGGCCAGGGCTAAACTGCCCTACAAAGCAAAAAGGCAGTAACTGCAGTTTTGGTAAAGCTTTAATTATTACAATTTTTATGACATTCAAGGCATCCTTTGTTATATGACAAAACATCTTATCTTAAATGCATGTCGTTTTAGAGAAAAATGGTAGTCGTTTGTACAATAACTGCAAAAAGCCCTAGCAAAAGTCATTTTTCTCAGTTCTGCACTCTGCGTAGTTACTGCCTTTTTGCTTTGTAGGGCAGTAAAGCACTGGGGCTGGAAAGAGAGGTAGAAGGAAAGAGAGCGAGAGATGCGCCCGGTTCTCGAGGGGGGACGGGGACACATGGTGCAAGATGGAGCAAGCTGTTCATACTATAAAGACACAGCTAACCAGGAGAACATTTACACAAATGATCACTCATTTATTGGATAAACAGACTAAGAAGTGTAAAATGTTAAAAATGCGAGCTGTGGGCTTTACATGAATGTGGCTGAATGATTCAGGCTTGCTAACTGTCTATTTACATTCCTACTTTCACTAAATCTTTGATTGAATTATATACATAGGCCTGAGATAAATCAGGATGATATTGAAACCAAAGACCACTTGTGCATGGACGAGAGAGAGAGAGAGAGAGAGAGAGAGAGAGAGAGAGAGAGAGAGAGAGAGAGAGAGAGAGAGAGAGAGAGAGAGAGAGAGAGAGAGCGAGAGAGAGAGAGAGGAAAACATGGCATTCTTTCCAGGTTGTGAACATGTTAAGGAAGTAGAGGTTGAAATCCATATTATTAGCTCCAAGTGCAGCTGAGCCGCAGGCCATTCGACTGTGGTCCCAGAGCAAGCTGCCTTAACACGCTTCACCACAAAACAATGCTGGCTGAGGAGAAACTGCATGCCACTGATAAGGAAATAAAGCAGCCTGCGAGCACGACCAGGTGACAAGCATAAATTGTATTCTGCCAGTTTGTTTACCATTTTCAATTTATTCAGTCTGGGAAATGATGAAAGCGGTAATCCATGAACTTCCCACTGGTCACCACCAACTGCCCAAATGTCTCAGATGAAATCACACCCTGTCTTCCCGCACACAGCACTTGAGTCTCAGGATTAATTTGGTAACTGTGCAAATCATCGTGTTCTCCATTTCTATTTATACTCTCTTCCCTTAAAAAAGTTTTCATTAATTAATTGCATTACTGTAAAATGTATTTATTTCTTTTATTATTTTGCCTATAGACCCAGGGTTTTCAAACTGGAATGTGCAAGGTGAGAAAGAAAAATGTTGGCAGTATCTTTCTGCTTTTCTAAATCATACAGTAAGACTGATTTGTGGCTATTTTATTCAATTCACAGTCCTAGTTTTTAACATTAAGGAAAAAAAAAGTTTTAGTCTCGCCTTAAAATGTAAAAACTTTCAAGATAAGACAACACAGCTGTCGTTGTGTTTTGGAAAGAGGAACCATCGCAAGTGAATCAACATATTTGCCATTAAAATCAGAACCATTTAAGATCCTTGGCATTAAACATCTGAAAACTCCTGGTATACCACAAAGAAAGTTATTCAAGGCCCTTGTCTGCTGCAGGACCTGTTTGAAAGAACGTGATATGAATTTTGCCTTTTGTTCATGGGCACTCAGTTCTAAACACAACAGTTTTGAGCCAATTACCTGAGGCATATAGTCTTGTTCAGAAGTTTGAGGTCAGCAAGCCTTCTTTTTTTCCCAAAGTTACATTAAATCAATCAAAAGAGAAAGACATTTTAATGCTGATGAACAAAAGTGTATTGCAGTTTCCACAAAAAGCAGCACAACTGTTTTCAACATTGATAATAAATGTTTCTTCATGATCAAATCAGTAACGACTGCTGAAATTTTAGTTTTGAATCACAGAAATAAATTCCAAATTCAAAATAAATTAAAACACTTATTTTAAATTATAATTATATTTCACTATAATACTTTTTTTCATGCATTTTGATTGAATGCATAAGAGACATTTTAATATTTTAAAATCTCACCGACCCTAAACTTTTGAATGAAAGAAGATGCAAAGAGTTTTTAATCAGGTGTACATATCATGTGACGTTAGATTTGGATCCACAGAAAAATTATGTCTTCACAATGCTGATTGGCTGATGGCAGCCTTCACTATCATCTATAATATAATTAAATATTTTTTCAATGGAGAAAGATACATTTCACTGGTGCAATTTCAGCATCAACCAGCTGGGGTCATACTAACCGGGCCATGCTATCCAGCCAAACCTTGACCCCTTGGTCAAGACATAATTCAGCTTCGTTCTTTTCTTTTCAAAGCCTCCTTCACAACCTTTAGATGTCTCAAGAGAACCCACCCTTAAACAACTTATACAGCTAATTTCTCACAAAAAAAAAATGTGATCAAATATTGCAGGATCAGTGCCCTAACCTTTGTTTACTCATATGAAAGGCACGCTTTGCTTGAGAAGCTGAGATGGCCAATTAAAGCATTCTGCTTGCACCGCTGGCCCTAGTTTTAATTTTAAGGCTAAACCAGCATCCTTCACTGCTTGAGTCATGCAGGCTGTCCTCCTAGTCATCATTAGTTTAGTGTGATTTGAGAGGGGGGGGAGGGAGGAGTAGGGCAGAGCAAAGAAACGGTCTCAAAGGCGCAGAGAGTGAAGCTTTTAATCAGGCAGAACTGGAACCGCTACAGGTCAGTGCAGTGTCGCTCCCCAACAAACAAGAAACGGCACCGAAAATGACTTCTAATAAAACAAGGGTTTAGGGGGAGAGCAAATGAAAGAGAAAGAGGGGAACCTAATATAAATGATAGTAGCTCAGACAATAGCCTCAGGATTCTACATCAAGCTTAACTAATGTGCAATTAAGCTTTAGACTGGGAGAAAATCACCTTGTAAAAATATTTGTCATGCGAGCCGTTTCTCTGGTCTCTGCACTAATTAACAAGGGAACGTAGTAGAGTTTGTTTGTACTTCTATTTACACATAACTACAGGAAAAAACAAACATATACCTCATGTGATTATATTATCCAAAGACACTTTAGATCTCAATTAAGTCACTGACATTTAATCGCTATCATTAAGCAATAATAATTTACGTAACAGCTTATGAACTGTAGAACTAACAAATTAAGTACATTATTATCAGTGGTATAATTAGTTGCATAATTGTGACGGAGTGGATGCACCACAGTGAACTTTATAGTCCCAACAGGACTGAATAACTTTCTAGACCAACACAGAAGACATATTTGAGCCATCTTAAATTCAGATAAATTTCTGTATTTCTAAGTATTGATGCAAGAAAAGGGCACTTATGAACAGCTAGGGAAGAAAAAAAGTCTGTTTCATAAGACGGTAAAGCTATGGTCTTTAAGAGAGGTCAAATAAAACATTTTAACCATGGTCAGCAGTTCTCCATTCCCTGGCTGTGAAGAGAGAGAGAGAGAGAGTGAAATGATCCAAGGCAATAGCATAAAGCAGATACTCCAGCTTTATCTTGCTTGGACTGTGCAAAGGATGCACAGTAAACAAAGCACTGACGAACAGAAATGAGTTTAGAGAGTAAGGAAGGAATTGGGTCCGTTTCAATCAAGCCAATTGGGCTTCTGAAAGTACAACCTAAGTATCAGTACTTTACTCTCGATATTCAAACATTTACCCTGTTTAAAACGAAAAGTGTTAGCAGGGTAAGATAGGAACTATTTCTTACGCAGAACTGCTGAAAGACACAAACTGCTCACGCCGCTGACACTTCACTCACAGCCTTCAATCACACGCAGACTGGGCTCTGACAAAGAAATATCATTCACATTAAAGTCAAGCGTAGATGTGACATTTATTATAATGGGTTTGTGTGATGATTGTTTAATGATTCAAATGATTTTATAATTGTTAATAAATTATGAAAAAAACAAAAACAAAAGTTGAGTGCTATAATTACTTATCTTTGTCCTATCATAAAAAAACAATGTTTAATAAAGATATCAGCATGGAGTCTATATGAAAAATCACTTCCGTATTTATCATTAACTAAATGAAATCTTGAGGAAATGTTCCACAACAGGATAAAGCAGTACTCTGGGAAAGTAAATACTATACCGAAACGTAGCACTAACATTGTAGTGGAAATACATAAACAGATGGTGTGCAAATCCATGGTCTCAATATTGGCAAGTTAAGTATCCGTCAGATCATCTATCCCTATGATAAAGCATTTTGTGCAGGCACAATATGGCATTAAAACATATTTTCTTTTCACAGGTAAGTGAGACGGGTGAAGTGGATATGCAGATGGTGGACTCTCAGATATGGATCCCTGCTGAGGAGCCCATATCCAACAAAACATTCCTGTTGAATTCCAAGATCTGGGAGATTTGCCAAGATCTACCCATCCACTGGATCCACCCATCTCCTCTCAGAGGTTAAAAAACAGGGCTTCACCAACTTCAAAATCCAATTCAACCCTAGTAATAAGGTTTCAGAATAGCCAAGTCAAGGCTGTACTGTAATTTCTTTTGCTCTCCATGCACTGTTTATTTGTACTTTCCCTTCAAACACAGAATTGAGTGGCTAATGCTCTAGAAATGTCCAAAGCAATCCTTTATTAACTAATCAAGGACATGATACACCGTGTTTGAAGAAGTATTTTGCCAACTTGTTACATTTTTCTAAATGAGGGCTTTATAGCATGTTCTTAAGGAATATCTAAGTAGCATAACTGCACCATCGTCTTTCCTTCTGTGATGCAGAGGCTGAGTTCCATGATGTAGAGGATGTGGAGGAGACCCCAGAGCTGGAGGCAAGAGGGCCACGTCAGGCCCGGGACATCATGGACCAGTTACCAGTAAACGACTATGTAAGTATGAGCCTGAGGTTCATTACAAAAAGGCGTGTTTGACTGCGGTTGAGCTGGATAGTCATGCTCTCTTTTTTAGTATAAATCGTTCATTAATCGAAGTTCCCTTTCCGAACTTAAAACAGACCATGCGGACCACAGGGCATTGAAATTGCTCTATATATCTGCTTAAATCAGGCCAGCTCACTTAAGACTCCCTTAATGTCTTACTGCTAATGGAGAGGGATATTTAGCCTTCAAAGGAAGCAAGTTTGCTTTGCAGTTTCTTCATGCCTCTCTTATGCAGTAACTGATGTACAAAGACAGCCTCCCAAGGTCACTCATTAATGAATAGATAAATGTATTAATCATGCTTTAATTATCAAGGCATAAAGAATCAAGCGGCCAAAGAGAGTCCTTTATTGCGTTCATGAAGTGAAGCATATGTTCAATGATTAATCATTCTAAAGTTGTATGCACTAATGCTTCGCACACCTACGATTTAAACCTCCCCCATCTAGTATGCGACTTTTAGCCTCTGAGCCCAAGGATGAGAAGACGGCGAAAAGAAAGAGCTTTAGGTGGGGGGAAAAAAAGCCATATTTATCTGCAGAGGTCCAGGAACGACTTGCTTTCCCACCTCATCCAGCAACACGGACTGCAAAGTTACATATAATTAAAGCAAACCCAGATGAAACCACCTTTCGCTTTTGAAATCCGCTCCTTCTATCAGCTGGTTAATACATACCAATCCAGCCAATTCCAAGGCTTAGCACAGGCGGGCTGTGTTTGTGGGCAGAGCGATAACAAAGGCTTTTGTGAACGTCAGAGGGGATGTGGCTTCCAGTAATTGGAGTCTGGAGTCATGTAGATGCTGCTGGGAAGCCAGATATCTCAGACCTTTCAGAGGATCCTAGACGCAAGCCCTTCTTTTTGCTCTCCCACCGGCAGACGTCTGCAGCTCGAGGAGGGAATTCATATTTTGCTACCCTGTTGTGTGCTTTTTATAAATAATCATCAAAGTTCCAGTGACAGAAGGCCTGAGATATACGAGGCTGACCTTTCCCCAGTACTGCCATGCTGATGGGTTGTGTGCCAGCACAGCTCTGGATATCTTTCAAACTGAATAACTATCATCTGGCTGCACTGAGAAATTGCATCATGGTCCTTGACCTACATTGGGAGGATAAGCCTCTGATGATTGGGTCCGGTTGAATCTCAGTCTTGTACGCCTGCCGCAGTTGTTGATGGTAGGCATTGTGACCCCGCGTTCTAGCTGAAAGCATTCTGGCTTGCAGATCGCTGATTGAACCTCCCTCCTCGAGTCTGAACTTAAGACGCACTTTCCAGTCAAGGACCCGAAGATGACAAATTCACTTTAAACTTAGGACAATAAAATAAGGCAAAAAGAAAGACTATACATCTATGATTGGAAAACAGGAGGAACGTCAATCAAGCTGTGTAAAAATAACGTGTTAGCACATGCAGTTCCCTTTTAAGGGAAGCAAATTATAACATAGGTCTACATTTCTCTATAACGACACCATCAGTCAGATAAGATTTCTTTTTGAAATAAGTCTCTTATGCTCACCAAAGCTGCATTCATTTGATCAAAAATGCAGTAGTAATATTCTGAAATACTGATATAACTGCTTTCTATTTAAATACATTTCAAAAATGTAATTGATTCCTGATCTGATCAGGTGTTCAAAAGAACAACATTTATTCGAAATTATTTGTGACAATAAAGACCTTTATAATGTTACTCTTGATCAAATGAATACATCCTATGCTAAATGAAGTATTGTCGTCTTTAGAAAGAAAAAAAAACACTTGACGCTTGGCAGTGACTATCAAAACACACAGGAAATGCAAATCTGCAATAATTTAATAAAAACACTTTTTTCACACTTAATCGCACAAGCATAAAAATGTGTTCCTCCGCAGGTGTTCGTATTAAAATGAATGATGGTTCAGCTTCAACGATAATTCAATTCTACCATACAATGAATGCAAATGTTTACTTTTGTTCTAAACAGTGCATGGGTTTGATTTATAAATAAATAACCTGTAAAAGGAGTCTTTCCACCATCATGTACTGATAAACGGGTTCTCCCCATAAGACTTTTGCGGACACTCTGATCAGTTCCAATTGGCTATGGATGTTCCGATTGGTTTTTGGAACAGAACAAAGCATTTATAATGCCAAATTGAATACAATGCATTCAAAGTGTTTAAATAAATGTATAAACACGCATATTTAATTACGTTTAATGAGTTCATTTTAACCATCCAACAAATAATAATCATTCGATGTAAAATAATGTAGAGTAAAATCATTTTAAAAAACGGATTTCTAATAAATAAATAAAAATAGGGGGAAAAGTGTCTCTCTCATGTCTTGGTTAGCATCAAGATAGTGGAAGTTTAAGACAATTTATCCCTCCAGTAATCACAGTCTATGAAATAACTCCTCAGTTGATAATCAACTGTATGATGTGCCATCCCATAATAAATGAGGAGTTTTCATATTTTCTCACATTAAATGCTAGCATCACGCTTTAACAGGCTGTAACACTAAACACAGCAGAGGACGTTGACAAGCTTCATGAAGCTTATACAAAACGCTAAAGTCAGCTCCTGGCACCTGTTCTTAATTGCTCTTACTATTTTATTCATGACTGACATCATGTCCCAGAGTACTTTATTTATTGTCATCTACACATGCAACAGACAGGCACATAAAGTCCCAAATATGAAGTTATTAACAATCACTTTCTCATTGCAGCAGGATAATCTAACACAGTCTCATCCCAAAAAGTCATATAACTGACGTTTTGGGACGTATTTTGACCATACGTCAATATCAGCCTTTTTAGGGCCCCCTTAAACGTCGGTAGATGGCGATCCCGGGCCGTCATACAACTGACGCTTTACCTTTAACGTCAGTTAGGTGACGGGTTAGGTTTAGGGTTAGGTTTAGGTATGGGGTAGAGTTAGGATCCCATAACCTCATCTACCGACGTTTAAGGGGGCCCTAAAAAGGCGAATATTGACGTATGGTCAAAAGACGTCCCAAAACGTCAGTTATATGACGTCTTGGGGTGAGACCGGGTTCGATAATCAGTTTGATTAATATGCCTCTGTGGAACAATACCATAGTCTGTTTGTTTTATACTAATCACGCATCATTTCACTCGAAAACACTTATTTTCCCAAATAACATCCACCTTTCAAGCAAGCAGGGTTTCTCTCTCTCTCTCTCTGTGAAAGTATGATAAATCAAACAGTTCTACACAGACAGGCTTTGTGCTGTTAGCAAAATGAATTGTTGTCTCAACAATCTTGACCCTAAACCCAACAAACATTTTCAATCAGTAATTGTGCATTTGTGAGTAATAAATCAAAGTGTACAGACATCACACTTCTTTCTCTTGCACTAGTACAGTATAATCATTAGGAGAATGCAATTTCCACTCCATTCATCATTGCATAGTGAGCTCATGAAAACTCAAACATGCTTTGTTTATGGAGAACATGATGAGAGATGGGACTCCAGAGGAGAAATGCATGCCATTTTGCATCTTCACACACACATGCACATTATAATTCACTGCGCTTCATCTCAAACCCAAGAAAATCGATAATGATAATAATATACCTGTTTATGCTACATCAGACTGATCTCATGAAATTTACATTTCTGGCATGCTATCAACACGCATAAATGCTGTTGACTTAATGTTACACATATATGACGTACCCCAACCCCGTCCCTAAACCTACCTGTCACTGGGGTTAATACCATTTATGAGTCTTCCCCTACCATCCTAGAAAAAAAAATCTTGCTCCCCAGATGTAGATCTACATTTTGCTTCGTTTCGCTCAGACATTTAACGGCGCGTACATACACGCGGAATCACTCGGACATTTAACAGCGTAGACATGCACGCATATACACGGATAGCTGGAAAAGTGTATAAATAACACGCCACTTGACTTGAAAGTGGCGCGCATGTTTACGCAAAAGTTATGATGTCATGTTGGCTACACAAACACCACGCATGACCATGGATAGATGTCATTTTCTTTAGCACAACACATTTCAAAGCAATTTCTGCCGTCAAGTTTATTTGCGTCATTCCCAACAGGAACTCTGAAGAGTTGCCAGACAACCGAAAGAGATCCGGCTCCATCTGCCAATCTAATGCAGATCAGAGGAGGTGACTGGGTCACCGACGGTGTTTTTAATCAGCCGGATAACATCATATTGTCTGCGTCGTAAGCTAGGGGAGATCGAAACGCAGTCAAATGAAAAAGGGAGTTGAGGGTGCTATCTGCTCCAACAGTTACGGCAGATAGAAAGTTAAGTGGCACTTCTCAGAACCCATCTCGCCGTAGCGCCTGATCAAAGGCATGGCACTCAGCCCTGGGTAATCTGAAGAGGGCATGCGTACACGATCACAATGGAGAGGGCCAAGGGCCATTAATTCTACCCAATTTACCTTTCACTCCACTTTCATTTAGCCCTTACAATTCACACCCTGCCTGCGAGAGCAAATAAACCGATCCTTGTTGGGCGATCATTACCCCACTAATTGCTGTAGGAACGTGCCATTCGCTTTATGCCAAAGTCAAAGGAGGGCATGAGAGTGCATGGGGGAGGGTTCTCATTTCTGAGCTCAAATGAGGCCAGGGTCGCTGCTCGGACTGAGGCACCGAAGCCACGCGTTTATGGGGGTGGGAGGGCTGGGATGAAAGAAATAGTGTAATTATCTCAGCGTCTGCCAGTGTCAAACTCGCTCTGACTGAGAACAGACAGGCAGTGGGGTTAAGGGACTTGAATCTGAGATGCCAAAGCCATGCGATGTCACCGGCGGCGTAATGGAAAGGTCAAGGGCATTATATCATATCAGATGCCCTGGCTTGGCATATCAAAACCATCTACTTTAAATGCCACTCTGATCCTTGTGACACATCCGAACATGACAGGGTTTTTTGTCATTGCATGTCTACACCCCATAATCACTCTTCATTCCCCTTCAGAAGCACTGCACCTTTTTATTGCTAAAATCAAGCTATAAGTCATGCGCCCTGTGGTGAGATTGCAGGTATTGTTTGGCGGCGGTTCTAACCCTGTTGACTCACTCTCTTTGCAGAGAGAATTGGGGCTGGAGCTGGACAACAGCCTAGATGAGCAGGGCTACTGCTGCCAGTACTGCCGTCGTGGGTACCGTTATTGTCGGCGATACTACGAGCCCCTGGGTGGCTTTTCGCCATATCCTTACTATTACCAGGGAGGACGAGTCATCTGTCAGATTGTCATGCCTTGCAACTGGTGGATAGCACGAATGCTGGGACGAATTTGAGGATCCTGGGGGGAACCAGTGGTGCTAAGCTGTTCAGGGGTACACGTAGACCAGCTTCATTCTCAAAACTTTTTCCATACTTTGAATAAAAAATCTGCCGATGTGAGGCAAAACATTAACTCAAAACTTCCTCAGTGACCTGTGATAACTATTCTTCATATTATGTATGGGTAGCTGATGCATAACAATCAAGTTCAAGATTTTAGGCTAATTACATATGGGAAATTACATATTTTAGGCCCTGTTTTTCACAATTTCACATTTTTTGCCTTCATTTGTTCAATTTGTGGAAAAACAAATTCATTTTTAATAGTATGCTACAAATATGCTCCATCTCAGACTATTCTTAACAGCATTCTGCTATTAATAATTATGAATGCAGTTTTTGTAAAGATGGGGTAAAGATCATGTCAAAATGCATAAAGTATTTAAAGTCAACTATCACTATATATATATATACACACACATATACACACACACACACACACTTTTATACATGATGCTTTCTGTAAAACTTATTTTCAATGAACTGTGTTTTGATCTGTCCTTTATCTATATGGTAATACTAAAAGTACCACAGAAACAGTTGCATGGAAATGGTCAGTTTCTTTAGTCTACATATTCCATGTGGACTTTTCAAATCAATGAAGAATGTGTAGGTAGAGGTAATTTGCATGTGAAGTTCTACACAACAAAAAAAAGTTATCCTTTATTTGTCTTGTTTTGTTTTTTAAGTGGATGAGAGGCATTATAAGGAACCAGGTTAACATAAGTACATTTACACTAATGTGCATGTTTATATTATAAATGTATTTACTGTATGCTTAAGTAAGTCCCCGAAGAGCTTTGAAAATGTACCTTTTTAAAAGCTGTTATGTGAATTTAATGTGGCGTAGAACTATACTGTACACATATCACACGGCTGTATTTAAATAGTGACATTGCTAGCACCATAATTGCAGGTCTGGGACTGTTTCAATCAATTCTTTCATCCAAGCAAATGGGTGCTCTATAAATTGCATTTATGTAATCTAATGCTCCTTTGTGTTTTTCCAACAACTTCCATCTGAATAAAACTTTCAGTGTCCGCTACCAATTTACTGCAGCAAAAAAACGTGCTAAGAGATGTAAAAAGACTGTGAAATACAACATGCTGATAATTATAGTGAGCTACACTGACACTGACTTTTATTCCAATTTTTTTTTTCAGATTTCTTTGTTTGTGTTCTTTGAGAATCAAACCCAATGACCTTGACATTGTTAGCATCATGCTCTACCAGTTGAGCTCCAATAAGTCTAAATACATGACTGAGCTATACAAGACCTAATAACAGACACAGTATACATTTTTAAATCATCATAAAAAAAAGCTGGTACACTGAAAGCATTCAAAATGCATCTGCTTTTCTAAGAAAACAACAAAAGAGCAAATCACAGGGCTTTCATCTTGAAACAAAAGATGCCACATCTGTGACAAACAACCACGCAAAGCCACAAATCAAAGATGGAGGAAGTTAAAACTCACCTCGATGTTTATCTCGTTCGCTTTCATGGTCAGTTGTCTAAATGTGATCTTCATCAGCCATATCTTTCCTCAAAACACTTTTTTCGTCTACAGATGGAATCTAATTCACTAGAAGCCTGAGGTAAATGATCAAAGCACAAACTCAAAATACCCCATAGAAAGCTTATTATATTGGATCCTGTTTCTTTTATCACAATACCTGAATTCATATGAGACACCAGCACTTATCTTGATGCAATTCAAAAGGAAGTGACCTTGAAAGAGCGTCTGTATAATAAAATGGCAGTAATTAATTCAAAGTAATTTAGTGTGTAGTTTTAGGCCATAATTCATAACATCTATTTGCACACGCACACCATCAAGTCGTTCAATACATGTATGACTTACTTCTAATGCTGCTTTTGTCTTTACCTTAATGGTGGATGAGGACCGGCGCTGTCAATCTCCAAAACAGACCAAAAGCACCACCAAACCATGAAAAGTGATCCATGTGACCGTATGCCAAGACTTGTGAAGTCAATAGCTCTGTGTGAGGAAGAAAAAGACATTTTAGTTTTAAAAATCTTAATTTGTCTTGAGACATTTTTTTTTCCTCTTCTTCATAAATGAATGTTCTAAGCAACATTATAATTTCCTCTTTAGAATAATACTAGTCAAAGAGTAGATACACTAGGCAACTTTTTGAGCAATGTTGATAGGAAATGTTGCCGTCAACGGGCAACCAGATGAGACACAGAGCCCAGGTCCGATCTAAATTATCCAGATAGAAATGTATTGCCCATTTTCGATGGGAAAGTCTCCACGCAACAATCGTTCGGCAAGATTGCCCTGCAATATTGCTCAAAAAGTTGCCCTGTATCATCACCTTTACTCTTTTACTAATATTACTCAAAAAAAGAAATTGTAAATGTTCCTTAGAGTAAAAATAAAGTAAATAGATGTACAGATAAACTAACTAATTTGAGAATTCAACCAAGTTGTTTATGATGTCACGGCTGTCATAATGTGTGATTTGCCGTATCCACCTTCATTGCTATTTCCAGACATACCTGAGCTGGTTTGTTTATTTTCGTCATGACAACACATGTCGGATGTATATTTATGTAAAAATTACCTATAGGAAGGATTCATGACTTGAAAATTAATTATCTAAAGATTAGGCTATGCATACCGAGATCCATACTGAGTCTTGTATAACGATTTCAGATTTAAAACAACCTAACAGTGCCAATTTCCATTTGTGAAAGCTCAGAGCTGCTTGTATTTCATTGCCGAGAGACGCAGAAAGTGAGCCTGCAGCAAAAGTGACTGTATAAGACTTAAGGAGGCAGGATAACTGCAGATTGCACAGGTAGGCATGTGAATTAATTCCTTTTGTTAGCACATCAAAAGTGCATTGTTATTTACCTCCAAGCTGTTTGTTTTAGTTCTCAGGATTTACCTCGCCGATTTGTGTACGTGGAGCAGGTAGTGTGTGTTTTACATGCAGACTTTCTGCTTTAGAGGAGTACACGATGTACAAGAAAAGAGAGCAAATTGCTTGTTAAATGTATTTTACTGAGGCGTGACACTACTGCCCTCCAGTGGTGCCATATGGATACGACTATATTATCGAGCCTTAGGGCAAAGGGGTTTTCAAAATGGGGTCCATAAGTAAATGCTATAGAGGAACTATGGGAATGTTTAGAAAAAAAGAAAAAGAAAAATATTAATTAAAATGAATGACATAAATAAATTAATACAATAATAAATATTATATGTTTAATTGGTATTAATGGATAAATTGTAACATTTAAATAAAAAATAAATAATTAAATTAAACTATTTAAATTTGATTAAAATAAACAAATAGATAATACAGTGTTGGGTAAGTTACTCTAAGAAATTAATTAATTAGTTACCTCTTGAACAGTGTAATTAGATTACTGTAGCTAATTACTCTCTCTAAATTGCATGAATTATCTTTAAACTGACCAAGGTGGATAAGGTTACATTATAAAAACATACTTTTTAACATCAGACAATACATTTTGATGTTAAACCCACTATTGTTTTATGTCTGATCTCATGACATTTCACACTTTCCCATACATATTTTACAATAATTCATACGAATTTGTACGAGTGCCGTCGTACGATTTAGACACCTCATAAAATGCATTTAACGCTGTGAGATCGGATAGGCCTACACAGTATTTACCTCAAGAATTACATCAGAAGTAACTGTAATTAAATTACAGATAAATGAAGAGTAGGGCAGTAGGCTAATCCCTTACTTTACATGTTCAAGAGAAAAGTAATTAAATTACAGTAACTAATTACTTAGTTAGTTAAACCCAACACTGTTGATACATATTATAGTACGATAGTGAGCAAGAAAAATACAATCAACTAAAATATGTTCCAAATAATATTTTACACAAATCTACTGCGGTCTGCCATTGAACTGGATGGCGTAGGCCTACTTCGCATGAGAATTACAATTTCTGTTACATCTATGTAGGCAGGGTGATAGCCTTAACAGAATGTCTAGCAAACAAGAGATTCTTCATCTTACTGGAAGTTTTTCGGCAGGTGTAGCCTAAGATCCGAACCATAGGCTACGTTTTAAATTATTTGCTCGAGTTGGCTATACATTAAGGTAAATCTTTGGGAGGGGACAAACAAGATTGCGTGATTTACTGACAACGCAACAATGTCAAAACCAGATTTATTGTTTCAATTTAAAAAAAAAAATTGACAAATGTTACACATCAGCCCATAGTTTCTCTTTTTGTATTAGTTAAAAAATAATAACCTGCTTTAATTGTCTTATCTCCAGGCGCGTCAGTGTCCTCTTTGCTCCGTGTTTTCACTGTGTGATGAGAAAATCGGACGTGTGGCGTGAAAACAGTGTCGCACTGGCCCCGTTCACACTATTGCATAAATGGCGTTTTAATTCAAAATGAAAACGATCCTCATCTACACTGGTACTATTTCAAAAGCAATATCCATATACACATACCGAATACATAGACAGTAAAAGCCGAATTCGCATGTCACGCGTGCACAATTGTAAAAAGTTCCTTCTTGTGCATGTCAGCAGCCGCTGCATAAAAGGTGCTCTAAACGAGGTCACACGTCTTTTAGGCCCAAACATTTTTTTTATTTATTTTTTATGTTTTTTGTCACATACGGCAAACACAACTATCCGCTTCCTACTACCTGTCTCGACTATTTATAGACTCGGGCCACGCCGTTTTGGCGAGCTTTGGCACAATGAGAGCGTGTCAGCTTCTCATTGGCTGCGAGTTCAACCGAGTTCCCTCATAGGCTAGCAATTCTCCCTGAGCGAACCAATGAGCTGCTAGCTAGCCCGACATGGTCTGCTGCAGTTGAACCAGAGAAATTAAAGGATAATTTTTTGGATTCATCTTCTCAGAAAAGATGAATCTTTCCCGTAGCGTAAGCTAGCTAACACAATACGAGAGAACCTCTTTTTTTAATGCAAAAACACAATACAAATCACATCACAAAAAACTTAACAAAATATACATTAGGCTACAATACAGAAATATAGCCTAACATTACAACAAATACAAAACAGTTTCGCCAGGGGAAGCATAAGGGCCATTACAAAGGAAAAAAAAGGACCATATGTTGACAGTTTTAACTGCTTTTTTGTTGTTGGAGCCAGAAATCAGCTTAATATAATGTACAACTAAGAGAACAAACTCTTCCAGTCGTGTCATCAATCCGGAAGCCGGGCATTTGGAGGCACAGAACATAAACAATGTCATTGAACTGAACAGACTCGCAAATTTGATTATTTCTGCTGAAAAATGGTCAAGTTTTGGTCTGTACTAATCAGTCGCATCTGGAAAATATCTTTCAAATTCTATAGACTGCCAAAAGTTAAAGAGAAGAGTACAAAAAACTGATGAAAGAAGGTGTTTGTGGTTGAGAGAGGCACAGCATCAGCTCATCAGCCACATGTGTAAATGAAGCTTTGACTATGGCTAAAATGTTAATGTAATGGCTACATTCACACTGTCAGTCCAAATCCGATTATCTTTGTATCCGATTGGAATCTGATCTAAAATGATGTCCACACTGTTTATAGCAACTGTTCAGATCTGATTTGTGAGTCCATGCAGCTCTCGGGCAATAAGGCACTGACATTGACACTGATGGAGGGGTTTGCATTTGTAATAGATATGTTTTCTTATTTAATTTTTACAACGCCACTGCCATGCTGGACTATATTGCATATTGAGCTGCAGAACTGTTGAGGGGCTGTTATAAAACGTTACAGCTTTTTTTCCGCGTTCTTGTCTGTTTCAGTTTCAATACATGTTTCAGAAATAATATTTTTCTGCTCGTCCAGCACTTTGCAATAACACAGCATTGTATCGGCAGCTACTTGCAGCATGTCTCCTTTAACAACCACTGACGTTTACATTTTATGTGGCGTGAGAGTCGCCCCCCCGAAATCCGATCGTTCAAACTAAAGCACATGTCCAGGTATTTGAATAGGATTTCAAACCACATATGGATGTAAGTTAGCTTGAAACGGATTTCATGTGCTTTTC